AAAGTTTTCACCTTTATGCCTTATCCACCCTTAGGCACTCCAGATCTACAAGGATCTTTACTTGGAATGTCTATATCCCATGGATCAAACTTCATGGACCAAAATCCTTATAAAATGGACATAAAGAGATCTAGGAAACCATAAGCCAATTTGAAGACTTGATTACTAGAAAATGGTGGAAATGAGATGGTGTTGCTGGATCTACAATATTCTCCTTGAACCTTCAAGGTCATTCTTCTTCTTCTTCTATTCTTCAATAACACACAAAACCCTCAAAAACAAGCTCACAAGCTCAAGGATGCACTAGGGTTTCAAGATCTAGGGTTTTGGATCTGGGGGTGAGAATGAGGCTGATGGGAGGAGAATAAGATGCTTAAATAGGGCACCAAGACCCAGATTTAGGGTTTCCCAAACCTAGACCAACTCGCTGAGTTGGTCCTCCAACTCATCGAGTAGGTCACTTAACCCGCGGCCCCAAAATCCGCTCCTACTCGACGAGTTTCCTTTCTTTCCTTGGGGTTTTCCTTTCTTTTCTTAGCCTTCAAGATTCTCATTGTTACAACTCTCCCCCATTTAAACTAGACTTCATCCTTGAAGTCCGCTAAGACAAACTACCTCTCAATCTTCACGATGTTGCTTTACGATGCATAATGTGCCTGCTCGGTCCAATCCTCGAACGAACACTTTTTTTAGCCTTCCCTCCGGTCTCCCTGAGCGAAATGCTAATCCTCAGAGGTATCCTCTTGAGAACCATCTAATTACTATAAACCTTGAGTACATTGCTCTTACCCTATCGACAATCCTTCCGGTGCTCCCCGAGTACTTATGTCGGACATCCAAGGGGGTTCACCCCTTTTTCCCTGTGCGGTTACTAGCCTTCCCAAGGCCACTTTCCATAAGCAATAACCTTCTCTATCTTCGTGTGGGTCAAACCTTTGCTCGAACTAATCTCCAGCCACTCCCAGTACTGTCCCTTCGCAGCTACCCATTGAATGCTTCCTCTATCATGTCTCAGTGATGAACACCCAACCCGGCGAATGGACCATATAATCCTTCGAGTAAAAGATTCATTCTTACAATGGTTAGACTCAGACGAGAGCTGCACAACATAATCAAATCCTTCCCTCTGAGATTACTTGATCCTGCTACGAGGGGCGTAGCACCACTCGGTCAACTGGCTACTCCATGCAAAAATTCTCTTATCCTTGCTCCTGTCCGGAGATCCTACTGCGTCTTATCCGTCTTTTCGGATGGACCAGGACCACCCTGATCCCAACTAATCTACCATTATCTAGAATACTGGACTCCCACCAGTTACTAAACCTAAGCTCGATCTCTCAATTGCTCCCAACGACTTTTAAAGAAAACTTCTACTATCTAAAACTGCTTTGTCTGTCTTGCCACTCTGGCTCTATAAGTCCTGGGATCCTCGATCCCCTACCTTGAACCTAAAGTCTCTACCCGGTCCCACTTACATTGCTATAAGCATACAGGCCTCGCCCACGGGTCCCACCCAAACCATGCTATGGAGCGGCCTTCCTTGCAGGTCTCACCTATCTTAGGGCTACATAGGTCCAGCTCCTCATCGAATCTCAGCGTGTTACCCTTCCTAATTTCTTATCATTCTAACTAGGAGTTACGTGCCTCGACCACCCTCTGCTAACTAGGAGATACGGACCCCCGCCCACACTCCTCTAACCAAGCTGCTAATAAATGCTACGGCTTGCCCATAGTCTTACAACACTTTCCATGCTGTCTAACTGCTGGTGAATGCAATGACTATCATATAGTCTTACATCCTTACTAACTTGCGTCCTGCCGGGAAAAATCTCCAACCTGATTTCCCAACCCAGTCATCAGCTAATCATGAATCACACGAACTCAACGTCGAGAAGTTTCCCAAATTTCCTAGTCATGCGCTCGTCTATCCAAACATCCACCTAGGCTACTTTCCTTCTCAACAAGATTACGAATTTATCCCAGTTTCACACTTACTTCTATTTCTGACTACTCGGGTGGTTCTTCCCGACTTTGATCCAGCTAATTTCTTGTAGTTCACAGCTTGGAAAGGATTCCCAATCCTTCTTACCATCCAATGATCAATCTACTGACAATCCTACACTCACTACTGCTAGTGATCTAACTGATAAATATCAATCAATACCCCTCTTGGAAACTAGCGAAACATATCTTGAGTTCCAATCACGCTCGTTACAGTTACTGTATCCTGAAAACCTGCTCTAAAAGGGGATGTCTTTGAACTACTACTCTATAATCCATGGTATGCAGATGGTATATAATTCAATCATAAGCAGGAAACAAAATTCTAAAGTACATTCACTAATATCGATGCAGTACCATAACAAATAAATCATAAAAACATAACTAATAGGAAAGTGAAAGATACACACCTGCCACATCAGGGGCTACTTGTGTCTCGTCTGAAACCAACTAGAATGACCAGCTCCTTGTCGCGGGAACCTCTGTCCAACCCTAACGGTCGTCGATAATCCTCAAAGTCATAGGGGTAGGTGTTATCACCTATCCTGATGTAACCAAACTCGGGCATTGGGCCTTCTTGTGGCCCTCTAATTGCAATGGAAGCATATCAGTTCTGATCCCTAGGTGGTGGTAATAGTACAATCTCTGCTAAAGTGACCAGTCTGGCCATACTTGAAGCAACCAGAACCACCACCGCTGCCACTACTACACGCACCCTCGTGCGTCCTGCCACACTTGCCACAACGACTACGGCTTTGGAAGTCTCTTAATCTCAAATCCGACCCCTTGGGTATCTTACTTGAACCTGTGGACAACTGACCCTCATCCGTTTTCCTCTTCCTCTCTGAGTCCAATTCAATCTCTCTCTCTCTCTCTCTCTCTCTCTCTCTCTCTCTCTGTGTGTATGGCTCGAGAAATCATATCCTCCAGCTTCTTGCAGCTAGATCGGCTCACAAACTACCTGATGTCGCTCCTCAGCATCTTGAGATATTAAGCCTTCTTCATCTCTTCGTCTACCACATACTGCGGAACAGGGAAGGGCTCTCTCTCTAAACTTGGTGGTGATCTCCACCACGGTCTCTGTATTATGCTGGAGGTCCTGGAACTCCCATGCTAATTGTTGCACCTCAATAATTGGTGCAAACTGGGCCCTGAACCTGGCCGAGAAGTCACTCCATGTCATCGCGTCCAACGTGATATCATCTCCAATAGCATGTCCAACCTCCTCCCACCAATCACGCGCTTTGTCCTTCAGAAGACGGGAGGCGAGTCAGACCTTTCCCCCCTCAGGTCACCGACTAGAATGCCAGGCATTTGCGACATCCGCCAACTATCTACTGCTAGCAATGGGGTCCCTAGCCCCATGGTAATTTGGAGCTCCACAAGCTCTGAACTCTCAGAATATCAGTGTACGCGCCCCCATCATGGCCACCATCTCAGTATGGAAGGCTCCCAACCTCTCATCCGAAATCTCCAATATGCCCTCCTTGACTGTTAGTAAAAGACAACTAAAACTCCTAAAATCACAAAACAAGCATTATTCGAGTATTGAGTACACATAATCAAGCATATACTAATTAGGCCATCACACTAACTAATTTGTACTAGCATGCAGCTCTCATATAGCTGATAAACATATAACAGGCACATAAGGCATCCTTCCTAGATCCTTAGCCCTAATCTAGCATGCAGTTCTCATAAAATTGGTAATCATATCATAACATAAACTTGTATGGGTAATTTGGGAGTACTTACTTGAGCTTAGATGATTGCATGCACCACACCCTTTTCTATTTTTCAGAAAAAAATGCTTTTCTTTTTGCTTTTTCTAGAATTCTTTTCTTTTCTCAAAATCCTTTTATAAAAATGATTTTTCTCTTGAAAAAAATTCTATACCAATTCCTTAGTTTGAGTTCAGAAATACTCGGAAGGGTGCCCGCATCCCTCGAACCAAGGCTCTGATACCAACTTGTAACATCCCAAAAATACGGACCAAAAAATTCATTTCAATCCTTAATAAAACAATAGTAATCCAAACATCATATAAAACCATAAGTCATGTATCTCAAAATATCATAACATTTGTTAAAATATATCAGAGTATAATCACCCCAGGCTAAAACGTCTTGGTGTGTGCAATGCGATCATCCCGAGTTCTTACCTCTGCTACTGAAAGTACCTGAAACCAAAACTGAAAACCGTAAGCATGAAGCTTAGTGAGTCTCCCCAAACTACCACATACCATACACATAATCACATATATTAGGCCCCACTACTAGAACACGGACCTTTAATGACTCGCGAACAATGACACACGTAGATTTACGATACGCATTTTGTGCGTGTCCTAGAAATAATGTCAGGTTTTCGAAATTAAAAGGATAGAGCATACATATTTATGCGTGCCCTAAAATTAAGTGTCCAACAAAAAAAAAATTACAAACACGGAGGGCACTTAAATTAAACGGGCGTCGTATATAAATGTCGTTTTATAAAATTTTAATACGCGCCTAGGGGAAATCAAATCCCCCAAATATTTGATGTACCGCACTTCCTTACCTCTGCACTTTATCCTCTACATCTTCACCCACCCACTTTCTCCTCTCGATCGTTGGCTCCTCAAGCGACGAGTCCTCTCTGCTCGCCGCCGTTAGCCATCGCCTCACTGTGAAACCACCAACAGCCGGATCTTCATCAAAACCTTACAATTTATCTCCTCTATACTGTTTTTGTCTACATCTTCTTCCTCGATGCCATAGCCACAATCACCTACAACACCTACCATGGCTTCTATGGAAGACCAATCAAGTTTTTCCCCGCCATGAAATCCCTAATCTTCTCCTTCTTCCCACTCTTGTCGACCACAATCGTTTCTCAACTCATCCTATCTCTCATCTCGCTTCCATTCTCCTGTTATTCTTGGTAATCATCAAGATTGGGGAAAACCTAGGGTTTGTAATTGAGTACAACTCGAATTACTTTATCAGGTCATTCATTTTGTTTCCACTCAAGATTGGGGAAACCTAGGGTTTGTAATTGAAGATGTCTTTTCTGTCTCTAGTTACTATATTCGTGGATGGGTATATAGTTGCATAAGTGAGTCTTCCTGCTAGTGATACACCTGCTAAGGTGAAGCAGTAAGATGAAGCTTGTTGACTCCAAAGATGCTTTTGCCTCAAAAGTGACATTTATCGTTGGTCGAGATCGTCTTCTAAAGGTATGGTTACATTAATCCTTTTTATTTTAAAACTACATATTTTGTTCGAGTCACATTCCTACAGATTTGATAACACTTGAATGGAGTTTTAGCACTTTGATTGACCTCTTTGGGTAGAAGGTTCCAAGTATCTACGATTTTGAAACATGTGATTTTGATTGAATTGCAGGTTCCCACAGAAAACATTAAAAATTTCTCCATCATTGCACATATTGATCATAGAAAATCGACATTAGCTGATAAATTGCTTCAAGTGACGGGTACAGTGCAATCACGTGATATGAGGGAGCAGTTTCTGGTATCGAGTATAAGTAAAAGCCTACAATTTTATGGTTTATATATTCCATAAAACAAAAAATATGAAGTATTTATTCAATTCATTTGAGAGTATATAATGCAAGATTCTTATTTTAGGTTAATAGAATTATGATTTATCTTATGGATAGAACAATAATAACAATAGATTATTCGATATTAAGTAGTATAGGAAACTGTTACTCTATTACCACCAGGCACCAGGGCTTTGGCCACTTTCTGCAATATATACATGCTTAGGCTTTTATATTCCTAAATGATACTCTTTTACTTGTTGTTGATTATATTAATGACAATTTTACAAGAATGTTGCTATCAACTTCTCAGGTAACTTGTCTGATGGATTCAAATGTTTGATATGAGTTTTTGGATCTGAAGTTTAAATCCAGATTGTTCTTCAATGGTCACCTATAACATTGAATTCGTTTTTCTATAGGTTTAATGGTTCTTCTCCAAAAGGGGTCACAAACCTTGTGTATGTAGGCAATGAGCAGAAAGAGATGTCAAAAACTAGCTGTGGTTATAACTTCATCAACACTCCAGTTTCAAAACTTTTACCTGTTGTAAGTCTATAAAAAAATCATAATTTTTTACCCTTTTCCATTTTTTATAAAAAGGTGGATAATTTACACTTTTACAGGTAGTGGAATCTTCTCAAGATTTTTTACCTCTTCTATTACTCACAATGGATCGCCCCCCTGAGTTTTGGAAAGTGGAGCCAACCAAGCAATTAACCAAGTCTGTTAGTTAATAATTAATGATTATTATTTATTAGTTTTGTTTCTAAATATTCATTTTTAAACATTTTTTTTCTAATTGAGATTTCCTCAATTGAATCATCCTTATTTTATGTCCTCTTAGTATTTATTCTTTTGTTTTGCAACTTACAGTCTAAAACATCATAGTGCAAGTTCAATTCCAGAACAACCACCTGAAACTTACCTATCTGGAAGAAATCCATTGGTATTGGTTTTCAATCTTTTTATATTGGTTTTGTCTTTTCAGCTTATATATCTAGAAAGGAACACGTAGTACTTTTGAACAGCAAGAATGGGCAGCTAAAATTGTTGATTCTTTGAAGGTATAATGTCCTTATTCAGACAACAATTAATGTGAAAAAAGAAAGAATTCAATAATAAAATACTTTTTTGATGATTTTTTTATGTTATCTTTGATCAGCATGGGGTAAACGCAAAATTCCAAAATGAAGGAACAGAAAGCTGATCAACGTTTTGGCTTGGATTTGGAGGGAACCAAAGTTTCACTAGCACCAAAGTATCATTGGAGACTTCTAGATTTCCTCACTTGTTTGCATTCTCGCTCATTAAAGGTTTCAATTTCACAAACATATAATAATACCACTTTAGTTTTACTTTTTTTTTTCTTTTATTATTATTGTTAATTAAGATTGAAGAAGTTTACAACTTTGATCAAGATGACCTGTTGCCTGATGATATGTTGATATTAGATACACATGTTGAGGTGTTCGTTTGGATCTCTTGATGGATTGTCGCCACATGGAACAGGCACGTCAAGTTGATCAGGCACACCAAGTTGATGCAAATAAGAATCCAGATGATCCTCAAGCTGCAGAAAGATTTCAGGAAAGTGTTTGATCCTTCATTAGAAAATAAAAGGTAACTATAAAGGGTATTTCTGGCTGAATGTGTACGAAATTAAGGGCATTTCTGGAAATCACAGATTACTGCAGCAAAAGGTAACTATAAAGGGTTAATTGCAAGAAAAAAAAGTACAATTGATGTAATGGAAATAAATGAAAGCATGATGATGTAATCTACAAAGAGATAAAGGTAGATTGCTATTACTTGTAACTAGTACTAAAAAAATGTTATCTTAATTTTTTTTTCTTTTTGATGAATTTGATTTTAGAAATACATAGAATGGGCTGGATCTCTTGATGGATTGTCGCCACATGTGCCATTATACAAAGTAATGGAGGAAAATGAACCTTGTTTCTTCACAACATATTTCTCATGGGATCCTTCTAAACCATCATTGTTGTTGCTGATTGGCTTCAAAAGTTGTGGTAAACAATTTTCTTTTTGTGGGTATGTGATAGTGGAAGACTTTTTATTTTATTCTAGTCTGAATTGTAAATTATTAATGGCTAACAACAACATTGCCATTGTTGGTTAGTTATTATTAAGCTCACATAATCTGCCACATTTATTAATTTATACCTTTTCTGTTATAACGAGTATTGAGATTTCATTGTTGGTTAGTTATTATTAATCTGCCACATTTATTAATTTATTAATTTGCCACATTGTTGGTTAGTTATTATTAAGCTCACATAATCTGCCACGCATTGCAATCATGTTACTTTGAGATTTCATTTATTTTCAAATAGCTTTATGTTAACAGTATTGAGATTTCATTTATTTTCAAATAGGTTTACGTTTACATTTTTGCCCTCATTTTTCATGTGTGTTACATTTCACAGGAGTTATAATGAATGATGAGACTGTGCATCAGTTGTGCGAACAGGCTGTTTCATAGGTATTTACCATTTCAACTTTTGACTTTTGACTTCAAGGTGTTGATATTCTTACAGGTTCATACTTTTAACATTTATATTTTTATCTGTTATGTAGCATGAAAGTATTGGTTTAATCAAGTCTATGTCTTATTATATTAAAGGAATTTATGGTGTACTATAATAGATGACAAGGCTGCTGGAATGATTGTTTACTAATTTTAATTGATTGTAAACATAACAATACACTATAGAGGAGAAAGTCGTTGAAAGAGCTTATAAAAAGTTTGCACTTGATGCTTTGGTTATTCAACAATGACGTTTAGCTGAGCAAAAGCTCACATCACCTTTTTACTAGTTTCCATTACTTCTAAATAACATGTCATTTTTTTTGGCAGCTATAAACAAAGATGAGATGCTACAAATGATGAGGTTTGGTGCTAAAATGGTATTCAGTTCAAAGGATAGTACAATCACAGATGAAGATATTGATAGAATCGTTGCTAAAGGAGAAGAGGCAACTGCTGGGCTGTTGGAAGTTGGAACTTTGTGAATGATTTTGTAAATGCTGGCTTTGGTCAGGTATTTAATATTTTTCGACTACTTTTGTCAAAATAAATAAATAATCTAATAATTTAATTTATGTTTCTCTTTTTAAGGATAAACTAAAGAGGTTTCCAGTTGGAGAAATAAAGTTGATCTTGCATTAGGAGATATACATGTTGCAAAGTGTATCAAGTCTAACTACCCATGTGTCCCATTGGAGGAAGCTCAAGGTTCTTTACTTCTCTTACAATGTAATAATCCATCTTCACACATATTTTGTATTTTTTTTCTTTTCCTTTTTTTGCAGGCAATATAGATACTTTGAGCAAGTTCATAGATTTAGAGTCCTTGAGTGGTGTTACTAAGGAAGACTGGAGACAAGTGCGACACACATTTAAAAAAATCAGCACAAATCTTGTTTATAGTGAGGCACACATTAGGTTATTAGAACTATTAGTTTGTAAATTTTTGTTACAACTCTACTGATTTGTTTTATCTTTTTATGGAACGATTATTTGTATGACATTAAATTTTATGCAATGGATTGTATTTTTTGTATATGATATTTTATTTTCTATTATGAGACATTAAATACAAATTTAATTTGAAAATTAGTAAATCTATAAATAATATTTTTTTAAACATTTAAAATTATGATACGCAAAAATACGTGTCATCTTCATTTATGACATAGCCTTTCTTGATAGGGGCTTTCTTGATACGCATTGCGTGTCATTAACACGCGCGTCGTAAGGTTACGACATGCGAATGCGTGTCGTCTTCCTTTATGACAGGGCCTTCCTTGATACGTATTGCGTGTCGTAAATGTACGTCGTAATTGCGCGTCGTAAATGAGCATCGTAACTGCACGTCGTCTCTCTTTATGATAGGGCCTTCCTTGACACGCATTTGCGCATCGTCTGAGCCTTTTATGACGCTCAATGAGCGTCGTAAAAGGCTGTTTTTCTAGTAGTGCCCCCGCCCACTGCATCGGGACTTGCCCGACATCGGGCCCCGCCCAGCATCAGACCCCGCCTGGCATCGACCCCCGCTCGATATACAGACCTGTTTCTACTAGGCCACGCCTAGAGATGGAAAAAAAAACCCGTACTCAACGGGTACCCGAAACCCTAACCCGAGTTGACCGGGTAAATCCCCGAGTTGACCGGGGATGGGAACGGGGATGAGTATTACCCGAATATAAAAAGTGGGGATGGGGATGGGGATGGTTTTACATGTCGGGTACCCATACCCGTACCCGAAACCGGCCCCGATGGGTACCCGATATATATATATATATATATATATATATATATATATATATATATATATATATATATATATATATATATATATATATATATTATTTATTTATTTATTTTTTTTATATTTAATAATGCATCAGCAAATGTTCATTAGACAAAATAACGTTTTCTAACAATCAGACGTATGGTTTTGGGAAGACTTTTTATGTCTTTTTTTGCAAAGAATGATTTAATTTGTAACCTTGAATGTTATTGTTCGTGTTTGAAAACATTCAGTGATTATAGTGTTATATATTAGTTCTATTAGTTTTTGTTTTGTTGGTTAATCTATAATTATGAGTAATTTTTCATAAAAGTTTAAAACTTTGTAACGGGGAAAAATCCCCGATTACCCATTGGGGATCCCCGATACCCATTGGGGATCCCCGATACCCATTGGGGGATCCCCGATACCCATTGGGGATGGGGATGGGGATAGATTTTTAATCCCCGATGGGGATGGGGTCGGGTATGGGGATGGGGATGGGGATTCGGGTATGGGGACGGGAAACACGAAACCCGGTATACCCATACCCATTGCCATCCCTAGCCACGCCTGTCCCTGGGCCCCGTCTGCTATACACATACGAACATATAATCTAATCATGCTGGTACATAATAGTCAACACCATGCTATAACTGCTAGTCTCAAGGCCCCGCCCTTACTGTACTACTAATAAGATATGGAACCCCGTCCATACTCAACTAGTGATGAGATACGGGCCCCCGCCCACACTCACCCCTTACCATGCACATATAAGTATCACAAAGACAACAAGTATAACTAGACATGAATTTCTTCCTTGGGCCCTGCACGGCATCGGACTGAAGTTCGGAAAGCTTAGACCTTCCTCGGGCTTACCCAGGCATCGGACCGAAGTCCGGAACACATATCACATAAACTACATCGGGCTAACCCCGACATCGGACCTAAGTCTAGAACACACATAATATATAAACTTCATTGGGCTAACCCCAACACCACATCTTAATCCAGTATACAATAACATACACAAATGGGCCGATATTGGTGCCTTCGACCAGTTCCTACTGGAGAAATCTCACCTTGCACTGCTGAATTCCTATTGATACTCCACTGGCTGATAACTGACAATTCCCCAAACTGCTGCTCCTTCAGCTCCCCGAGCTGTTAGTAACAAAATGATACTTAGCCCCAAAAGGTTCTCAATTCAACCAGGTCAACCTTGGTCAAATTCAAAGTCAGCGGTCCAAGTCAACGCTCCGAATTGACTCAACTTCACCGAGTTTCTCCATCAACTCGCCGAATTCTAAAAATCAGAATCCTGAAATCGTGATCCAACTCATCGATTCAGCCTCTAACTCGTCGAGTTCCCTAGCTACTCATGGTTATGATGTATCGAATCAACTCATCGAGTCAGTCCCCAGACTCACCGAGTTCTCGCATGAACAGAAATAGAAACAACTCACTTCGACTCGTCGAGTCCATTCCTGGGCTCGCCGAGTCCCTTAGTCTGATTGGGCCATCTTAACAGATTAATCCCCTACACTTCAGATCTAAACCCCAAACTTTGTCTACACGCCATAAATGACCTCTTAAGGGTAAAGTTTCCAACTTTAACCATTCCTAATCCTTCTTATTGGGTTTGGCTCAAACCCTAGCTCCTTAGGACACAAATCCTTGTCCAAAATCCTTATTACTCCAAACTGAAGCAGGAGGACCAAGATCTAGGGCCTATATATCAGTTAATCACGTAAAGTCTCTACCTTTTCATCCATTCATGGCCTTCTAGGCTCAAGAGACCATAACAACCTCTTAAAGCTTGCATGGGGGTTTCCAATGGCGTAAAGTTTGCACCTTTATGCCTTATCCACCCTTAGTGACCACAATCCTCATAAAATGGACATAAATAGATCTAGGAAACCATAGAAGACTTGATTACCATAAAATGGTGGAAATGAGATGGTGTTGCTGGATCTACAATCTTCTCCCTGAACCTTCAAGGTCCTTCTTCTTCTTCTTCTTCTAGTCTTCATGAACACACAAAACCCTAAAAAACAAGCTCATAAGCTCAAGGATGCAATAGGGTTTCGAGATCTAGGGTTTTATACTTAGGGGCTGAGAATGAGGCTGATGGGAGGAGAATAAGATGCTTAAATAAAGCACAAAGACCTGGATTTAGGGTTTCCCAAACCCAGTCCAACTCGCCGAGTTGGTTCTCCAACTCGTCGAGTAGGCCAGTTAACCCGCAAACCTAAAATCTGCTCCTACTCGTCGAGTTAGTCCTCCATACTCGATAAGTTGCCTTTCTTTCCTCCGAGTTTTCCTTTCCTTTCTTGGCCTTCTAGTTTCTGGGTGTTACAGTAACACCCTTTTTCCGAATCGTTTCCTAATTCAAGGTTGTGACCTGAAGATCGGTTATCATAAGGCTTAAGCCTTTGAGAAAGAGAGAATTAGATCCCCTTGGGTGTGGAAAATGTAGATTGGATGACCTGAGAGTTCGGTTTGTGTTTTGGAGCCCAAGGGTATATCGATAAAGTGACATTTTAGGACTTTTATGAATTGGGTTTAAGTTCAGAAAGTTTTAAGGCAAAGAAGTGTTGATAGAAGTGTAAGGCTTCTCGTTACCTTTCCGGGGATATAAGGATTATCGAAAACGGACTTTGAATGAAGAAGTTATGGCCTTCAGAAGTTTGGTGATATTAGGGTTAAGCCTAATACGTTGGGTGTACATAAGAGTATGTTGAGCATACATAGGAGTACGTTAGGCAGAGGGATCACATATTCCCTTTTGAGTACATTGGGCGTACCAGGAGTACGCAAGGAGTACACAAGTCAGGTGCAAACCGTTGAGCCTTGTATTTGTTCCTTATTGAGTAAAAGGTACTCGAGAACCGTTGAGACTTATATTTGTTCCTTATTGAGGTTATTAAGTCATAAATTTTGGATCTTGTGGAGTTTAATCCTCTCATGCAAGTATTGGTGTCCTTATTATGAAGTTAGGAAGCTTGGATTATGTTTTGGACCTCATTAAGCCATGCAAAGTCATAAAGTCAGGAACTTTATGACTTAAGACATCTCTTTAGGGTTAGATCTGAGTTTGGATATCTTAACCATGAAGAGCTTAATGGTGAGTTTTGGCCTCTGACGAGTACGTTGGGCGTACGTAGGAGTACGCTCAGCGTAATGCTTGGACCGTGCATCGAGAACTTGTACATTATGCTTCGGAGGTAAGTATGCGGTGCGTACTCTTTTGGTACGCAAGGCATACTCCTTAGGGTGTCCATTTTTGGCCTTGGGCCATGAGATGTTGGACCAGTTTTGGGAAGGGTAAAATGTTATTTCACCCTTTAGAAGGATGAAGTATTGATTAGGCCTTGGTTTTTGGGATATTGGTTTAATTTTTAACTAAGGTTGTATTTATTGTTAGCTGGTGCGAGATTATTCGATTCAGTGACCCGAGTAGTTATTTGGTTATCAGCAGATTGAGGTGAGTCTCCTCACTGTACCCGTAAGTCGAAGGCACCAATGCCGACCCACTAGAATATGTTATTCTAGTTGTCTTTGTGACTCTTGCATTGTATGTTGGGCTAGGTCCATTTGTATGTTGGGATAGGGCCATTTGTATGCTGGGCTAGGCCTATTATATGATGGGCTAGGCCCATTATATGATGGACTAGGCCCATTATATGATGGTATAGGCCCATTTATATGTTGGGCTAG